ATCAAAAGAATATGGCAATCATCAGATTCTGGAGGTAAGGCAGAAACAACCACCTTATCAAGTGTTTGCATGGTTTTCTCATTCTACTCTGTATGCAAACCAAAATCCTATGCTCTTGTGACACGTGCATCTGTTGCTGTGTTGGTAGTTAGGCAGAAGGAGCCTGCCAGAGCAAGGCCAATGTTTAACATAATAGCAATAATAAGTAGAGGACTGAAATTCTTAACAGGCAATTGTAATGGGAAAACAAACTCTATACATTACTCCCTTTGCAATTGAATGTATTTTCTTCTTAAACAGTCATGCTGGAATACAAGGACTGTCAGTCCAGATTGCACTGCTCAGCTCCCTGCTTTGTTGTTTGGATACAGATCAGTGCCACTATCACATGCTCCAACAAGACATAAAAAATTTACATCTCCACGAAGCAAAAATGTCTCGTAGTTTCACATATCTATGATTCAATTAGTTTCTGAAGCATAACAGATTATTATGTGTTTACTGGATAAAACATTTTTCCTATTAGCTGTACAGGCTCATTACAGTTATTAGAATGTGAAATGGATACTAAACGGACTCGTGCATCACAGAAAGACTAATTAATTGGCTTTTCAATATTTCCTGTCGAAGATGCCTGAACCACAGAGGACCAATCCATAGAGTGGGCTTTCAGAGCCAGGTAAATCTGTGGTGTCAACAGTTACAGTGTCAACCTGAACTGAAAAATCTGTTTTTCGAGAAAAAACTGGCCTAGACCTACCTAGTTATGGAGGCAATAGGATATGTTTATGATGTTTATGAAAAGAAAATGATTACTTGCAGTTTCTCCCTTTTCCATTAGTAGACTTTGTCTCAGATTTACTAATATCGTCTCAATTCAAAAGGTTCTTCTTGAGAAATGCATACCATTTAACTACACTTTTAAAAACTTGATTAATACTGCAACTCTAATTTAAAATCCATGGATTAAGAAGGTAAAAGTTTTTAAGTGGTATGTAGACATCTCATACACAAAGCTGAGTGTCAGCACAAGTGTTAATGAAAGTTGCCCTTAGGAGAGTATAGCTGTTTTTGGCTGATGCGATCTCAACTGTATCATCCATGTGGATGGGAACTGAGGTTTCGGTTCTTCCAGAGAAAAGCATTCAGTTCACCTAAAAGCATCCTAATAGCAAGCTTAAGATGGTAGATAATAAGGATCCTACTTTGGTCCCCCAGCATGGACCCTGCTATCCTGATGGATTGGCTTCCTCTGTTTGTCTTCTGAGTTCTTCACGGTGAGGCCATAATCAAATCTGCATTTGTGCATTGCTGAGCACACTGGTGGCTAAGTCTGAGCGTGATATCAAGGCTCTACCAGAAAATAAATGGCACTAGCTAAAAATGAAATCTTTAATATAGATATATTTATATGGGCATTAATACTATAAGCATTTTTAATCCTGCAGTGGCTGCTACTGCCATTACATCTGATTCCTGTAATTATTAGGAATTATTTTAATATGGGAACACTTCCTATATAATAGATAACCTCTTTGTTGCAGCAATTTATTTTATTTATTTATTTGGTCTATTCATCCAGCTCTTTATGCTGACGGTAGAACGGTTTATTTCTTGTCAACATTTTCATTAAATGTTTATAAAGAACACCACAAGCAAGTTGAATCAATAAATTATCCAAAAGGTATAATGTTAAATTTGTGTTCAAGTTTTGGGTAAAATTTATTTAAAATGACTGTCATAAATATAGCTTCTCACAAGCCAAAACGGGCCTAATGGGTCCAAGGAAAAGAAGATGTTCATCTGCAATGGGAGATAGGGTTTGTACTCAAAGTTTCTCTGATAACTCTGCTGGAATATATATATAAGTGGAAGGTTTTTCTTTTTGTTTATTTAACCAAAAAGTATTTTTCCGTATTCTAAGAGAAAATGAAGTTGACACAACATTTTCCAGTTAAAGGAGCCTTCTAATAAGGGATTTATCAGCCCTAGTGCTAACACATCCCCCTATGAGATTCATGAAGCAGAGATTTTGCTCTGATTCCTTATCAGTGAGATCATATACTAAATTTATATATTAAATAAACTGAGGGCACCAACAGAATAGGTTTGGGACATATGCACAGCGAAGGCAAGTGATTTACAGGTCCAGAGCTGGTTCAGTTAAGAACCAGACAAGGTATATTTTTTTTTCATCATTTTTGTTATTGTTATTTACAGAACGGATTTCAACTTATCCATTTACCAGCATGTCATATCTGCCCTCTGCTTTCCTCATTAGGGATTATCTTGTATGTACACAGATGGCTACAGAGCTCATGCGTCTCTCATCCTCACCTAATCATTAAGGTTCAACAAAAGGTGAACACGACAATTATGAAAAAGCTCAGAGAATATTTAAAAAACAATAAGAATCAATAGCAGCAAATGTGCAATTTGAGTGATTAAACCCATGCCGTTCATCACCTAGGAAAACAGGAGAGAAACAGAACAGGAAAGAAACACCAGAAAAAAGTCAAATAGGAATTGGAAGCTCTTTCGTATACCAATAAAATATAATGCATCATTTTCTAGAAAATTCAAGCATACATTCTCACTGTCAGTCACATTACATTGCCCATCCTCAACTCAGAAAATCTCAGTAGTTTAGCATGTTCAAGATAGTTAATGAACAAATGGGCCGTATGCCCTTTTACTGCCATATTTCGAAGTTCTTAAGAGGAGCTAGAGTTTGTGTCTCAATGTATATCTTCACCCTCTGAATGAAGAACTTCTTGCTAACATCTAACCTAAATAACCCTTCTTTCAGTTTAAATCCATTCCCCCTTGTCCTATTGCTATCTACCTGAATAAAAAGTCAGTCCCCCTTTCTACATAGGTTAAAACGTAGGCATTGCTGGTGTCTCCTGATACGGATATTTAAGTCTTTCTGTTGCAATGTTTTCCAAGATTTTGAAAAAAAAAAAGAAAACAGGAAGCTCTAAATAGGCCATTCTTCTGCTTTGCAATTTACAAATCCATAACAGCTGTCAGAAAAGACTACAGAAAAAAAAAGATGGTGCAGAGGTGGTATGTGTTAGTCTATTAAAAAACAAACAAACAAACAAAGCTCTGTCTAATGTTAAAGCAGTAAAACGGTTCTTTTGAAAAATTAATCTGCAATTGAAATATTCAAGAGTATTTCTTTTTGGTGCTTTTAAACATGAAATTACGTGTTCTGCTAAGAAGCCCAGAAACACGAACCCAACTTAACTCCAATCTACTGAAGGAGAGAATATAGCACTTTGCCTTCATAATGGCTCCTCCTAAACAGAATAAATTATTCGTTTTTATTACAATTATTTAAAATTTTAAATTACAAACCAGCTCTGCTTAAGTTCACAGGGAAATTTGAAGTACCAAACTAAGCTAAGTTACACATCTTGAAAGGTCTGCACCTGAATCATCATTTCCTGAGTAAAAAGTGTGGTGTCACAAATATTTAGAGATTTGTGATACCCCAGAGTTTCTTCCCTGACACTCCAGTTAATGCAAATAAGGTTAAAACTATTCTGAGTCTGTCAGTAATTAGGGGATCTCTGCCATTTATCTTTGCTTTCTCTGTTACCCATTATTCCAACACCTGTCGCCTTGTAAAATGTCACCTACTGATAACTTTATAGACTTTATATGACCTTTGGATTTTGTGCTTCTTGAAATTGGGCTAGCTTTTTTCTTCTCTTAATGGAAATGAAAAGAGTGAGCTGATTTGTAGCAACTTGCAGGAGAATCTGTCTTTGTTCTTATGAGCTATTTTTGGCTACTGTATTACTTTATACTAAAGAAGTTACGGATCATGGACACGTGTGAGAAGATCCAGTATTTTCTGCAACCATTAGGGCCAAAAGAAAAGAATAAGTTCTTTCATCTTTTCATTAGGAGACTAAGATAACCAACCCTCACACAATTTGGGTTATGTAAATCAGATCACCTCTGCAGCCTTAATACTCAGCCTCAATACTCCAGAGCTCATGTGACTGCACATCAGAGTCCAATCTGAAGACCTGAAATCCTCTTCTTTTATCAACAAAACAACAAAGATTACCTACTGTTCAATAGCAGGAACAGTCCATAAAAACAGTCGTGTGAAACAAAGGGATTAGATATACAGCACTGCTTTGTTAGATGGCCACGATTCAAGATGGAAAGAGCTGTTTCAGCTGTGACATTCAGCTTGGTAATGAAAGCATGAGCCATTACAAATGGGAAGAAATATCTCTAGTGAAATAAAGCATCACAACATGTGAGTAGTTATAAAGTTGGTAAATTATAATAATAGCCATTATCACCTCTTTGAATCTGAAAGTGCATAGAACAACTTCATAGCCTTCGGTAATGGCATAATTAACAGGTTATCACTAGGCAACCATCCAGGTTACATTTTTTTAAAGGCTCTGAGATTGATTTTTGCTTTTCATTTCACTGTTAAATAATATTGTGTCAATATTTTTAGTAGATTGTCTAAAAACCAAAATGGAGCAAGTCAAACATTAGACTGCTATACTTCATCCCTGACAATGAAAAAACACAGATGGAAGAGGAAGCTCAAAAAACACTGTTTGTGCTTAGAATTTGGCTATTTAACAGTGTTATTTTTCAGATAAGCTAAAGTCTAAAGAATCAGGCATTTTTGAAACCTTATAGCTTGCACTGCAGTGGTGAAGCAGCCTATCTGAATACATTTATGTAGAACAGACAGAGGTCTGTGTACTATACTTTGGGTTCTCCAGACAATTAAAAATCACTCAGAAGTCACACCATGACTTCCACTTTTCTTATTCCAAAATAATCCTGGAATCAGAATTGAAAGGCAGAAAAAAAATGTGATTTGGGAAGCCCTTTACCCTAGAACAAAGGTAAGACTATCTGTGACTCAAGTAACACACACATCACATTGAACTGTTTGTCCAGGGATTCTATTCCATGAAACAAGTCTGAGCACTGGGAATTCCACAAATTCAGCTCCTGCCTCCAAGAAGTCAATGCATACATCAAAGAGAACATAGCACTGCTTTCCACAAGAAGCTGAGTTTTGCCCTCAAACATTGCACTGCTATGTGAAGGAAATTCCACATGATAGAATTTGTTTCTCAAGGAACTGAAACCATCCCCTAGGCTTTCAGCAGATCACTTGCACCCATCAGACTCGAGAATTGTAAACCAGTATTCAAAACTTGTAGAATGCCAGACAATCTCTTACCATAGCCAAAGGGAGAACTCCTACCAGGTCCTTCTGGCTGACGTAAATCTTGGAGACTCCGAGATCAGATGTTGTATCTCCAGGATATTCTACCTGCCACGTGATGAGCTGGGTCTCAGGTAGGTCAGTCAGGTCTTCAATTTCAAAATCAATCTGCATGATTTCAGAGGAAGGACCATCCGCGCTGGAAGCAAGAAAGAAAAATAAAGGTTCCATTCACATGACTGATAAGACAGTAATATAATTGCTTTTATGTTAATAAAACATTGGATTAAGGCTCTTCCACAAAGAGGATTTGGTGGATGATGGGTTTAATAATGAATTAATCATTTGAACTTGTCTTAAGATCTCAGAGTATTTTCCATACATTCAAGTGACTTAGTAACACTCTGGGATATGGATCGCCAAGCACAGCTCCATTTTATGGCTAGAGAAACAAAGGCAGATCAACATAAATTCAAGGCTAAAGCTACATGCAAGTTTATCTGCACAAACCAAAAAATCTGACTCCAAAGCTCTCTCCTTGATGAGCAAATTGTTATTTCCTCCCTGTTAAAGCAAAATACGATCAGATGTAAAGGGAGTCAGTCAATGAAACGGGAAAGCGCTGCATTAAAATTATGGTCTCCTTTTTGAAAGAGGAACACAACAGAGGTTAAAGCTCTGAATGGGATCTGTAAACATGGGCAATTCAGAGCAGAGGGTCAGAAAACACGGCAATGACTTTTTGATATTTTGCTACCTTGAGAATGTCTGCCTGAAGCTCAATTTTGTCCTCATCTAAACCAAGAGTATCTAATTTAACCAGCTGGGGGAGAGTTAAAAACAGGGCTATTTAGTATTGGCCAATCTGGCCAGGATCATTGAGTAAAAACACCAGAAAAGAACGAAGACTTTAGATGTGATTTTCCAGGATACTCCAGCAATGTTGGTGCTACTGACAACTTGTCCATGTTACTTTGTCTTTATATGCTGTCCTTCATAAAAGGTTACACAGTTCTCGTAAGTGAATACCATAAAGCAGAATTGTAAAGAGAAGAAGTTAGAAAGGGACTCAAAGGTGCTGTTCTTCCAAAGCTTGTAATAAAATCAGCTACTGTATAGAAAGCAATGCAGTAAAGTTTCTATTGCGTATCTTGGCAAGGTGAGCTCTATAGTCCAGTGGCATTTATAGAGACATGAAAATACTCAATATACTGTAAAGCTGTTGGGGAATGCAGAAATTCTTAATGGTGCAGAAATCCAGGGAACACTGAGAATGACAGTGCTTTTACTTCAGTAGCATTGAAGGCCAAAAAGATCATCAATGTTAGTGCAGAGGGAAAGGAAAGAGCATGATTTCTTTCAGCAGGATGACATTCAAGGAGTGAAAGAAGGGGACAATACTGAAGTGTCACAAGTCACTTGTGTTGGGGAGCACATAGAAAAAGAAAACATTTTTCAGGATTAGAGAATCACAAAAAAAAAAAAATGTGCACAAAACCCAGCAGGTTTTCTTTGCTGATGTGGGAAATAGCTAACATTAGGCATATTCTTTATTAAGGCTAGTTTTGACAACAGCCCCTGTTTTGGATTCTTCCCAAGATACTCAGAATTTTTATCATGCTGGCTGAATTCAATGCTTTATCTAAAGCTACTGCTTGAAGAATTTAATCTGATCATCTTTAAGGTTTGTATTTTAATGGATGTATTGAGTCCTTGCAATCCTGGGTGGAATTTAAAAGGAGCCTGTGTGTTTCCAAAATGGAATACATTGTGTTCAATTTCTCATTTCTTCATGTAAGGAAAAAAAAAAAAAAAGAAAGAAAAAAAAGAGCACAATTTCTAAACTAGCACTGAATGTAGTCTTATTTCATGCTGACCAAGGTAGGATCAGAAAGCTGCTGCATACAGCTGTGGCTATGGAAACTCAGTTACCTTAATTGTATGATCAGGAATGGGCAACACATTGCCTATAAATACCTAGCAGCAGTCCTGTTTTGTACAGCTTGTTCTGTCACAGTTTCTGTGTATAAAGAACTAATTAAATCATTATATAACGAACCTTGGTTTTAAGATTCTGTTTGCCTTTATTTTTGCATTGGTGTCTGCTGCTACCAGTCATTGGCGCTGCAGAATTGGTGCTGTCACCAGCAATGTGTCCTGTCACAGCAAAGAGATGCTGCTGCACAGGAAGGAACCGCAGGGCAAAACATGACAGAAAAACTTAAAACTGCCAGAACGATCATCAAAAAAGTAATCAACTTAGTCTTTTTGCAGGTATGTTAGAGATTAGAAGAAAAGGAGAAAAAATGATTAAGACAGAGGAGAAAAGGAGGAAAAAATATTAGGAAAACAAAGGAGAAGTGAATGGGAATGGAAAAGATGGGAAGAGAGTAGTGGAGCATGATCCGTATATTCTTAAACAACTGTTCCCATGCTATGCAACTACAAAATATTAACCAAAATGCTGAATGTGTTTTCCTTTAATTTCTGGCCAAACTCAATGGTTCATGACAGCAATCTAAGCTGAGGTGAGGAGTAGGCAAAGTGGAACAGTTCTTAATGATAACTTGAAGACCAGTCCTTCACTTTGGAATTCGGTATTTCATAGATTTACTGTTAAAGTGTGATGCAGTTCATTGTGGTGCCAATAAACTCTCCTTGTGGACAAAGCCCTGCTGAGCCATGTGTCGTGTAAACCCACTTAGAAACAGTCTCAGTTCAATGCAAAGACAAGCAAAAAAATCTGGGACAACAATAAAACAGGAGACTTGATTGGAAGGGAATAGGCTGGGCTTTCCTCCTGTCAGCCAGGACACCACAAGCAGGTCTGCATTGTATTTCTTCAACAGCCTTTTGTTTCCTGTCCAAGAGATCAAGCAGTTCAAACAAATAAAGAATGCAGAACACCGTCCTCTCTCCAGGGGAGAATTTCCTCCTCTGCAGAGCCATTCTGTACCTTTTACTTCTGACATCCCCAAATGAGACCAACGTTGTTTTTTTTTCATCTCTTTTCTGCCCTTTTGGCCTGGGACTCCTTTTAAATCAGACAGGCTGGTTTCAAGGCCCAAGGCCAATTCCTAACACCTAAGTCATTATGCCAAGATTCTTTAAGGAAAGAACCAGCCACTCCTCTGGTCTTTAGGGCTGGTATGCCCTGCAGGACAATTTTCAAGCAGAGACCCAGTAAATCCAAGAATAGCTATTGGATGCTGGCAGAGTTAGTGAATTCAAGCATCCCATTCATGATTTCACTAGCTATGGTATCAGCTTTGATCTTTATGCAATGCTCGTAGAACAAGATTTGTTCTGAACCCACTAAAAGGACTGGGCATTTAATGTTTTTCATAATATGACACGCAAAGTTTTGTCACTGTCTTTAGAAGGCTACAGCAGACATGAGAAGCCTAAAGCCATGAATATGCTAAATAAGATATATCATAGGAATGTTAATGAAAGAGCCTCAAGGGAGAAGAACTAAGAAGGTAATTTTGATTATTTTCTACCTCCTCACATGTACCTATGTCTCCAGTACTGCTCTTGCAGGGTACTGAAAGAACCCGTGGCCTGAAATGCTGCACAGGTCAGGCTGAGATGGAACAGCAGCGCTCAGAAAAGGAAGAAATGTTTCCATGGATAACTGCAAAAAACTTTCCAGCATGAAAGAAGGCAGTCATCAGCACAGCTGACCCTGAGAGACCTCAGGGAGTTTGTGAAAACTGTTATTCCCATTTTATAGGAGAAAAAAATTAAATTGAAAATGACTTTCTCATATAAAAAGGAATAAAAGGACTTACCCACCACAGAGTGGTAGCTATCCTCAACAACTTCAGAAATAAAGTCATTTCAAAATAAGTACAAAATTTGGGGTAAAAGTAAGATAATATGCTATTTTGGCATAGTAGATAACACACCATGCTAGCTTTTTCCAGTTCTATCAGTTGGGTTGCAGAAAGGGTTTATAGATGGCTTACTGTCTTGCCACTGCTCAGATTCAGCAGCAGCAATATGTCTTAAATTCAACTTCATCTTCATTTGAATGGCGAATAATGGTCTTAAACTTCGCATCCACATTTAATATTTGCGTGCGTGTTGGTTTTTGTATTTTTCTTTGTTTCATCTTTAACCTCAGCAATCAAAATGTACTACCTTCAGTTTTCCTTTGCACGTCTACTCTAAAACAATGCACACAAACATGTCTGCTTCAGGCAAGATTTGAACTCTTCAATGCAGTATAGGAAGACAAAGCATTCTGCTACTGATTTAGAGTCCTTGGAAACTTTGTCTCTGGGATGAGCTTCTTTTTCCAGTCTTCCCTGCACAATAACCACAGGCTAAGAGCCCTCAAAACAATCTTACAGGCAAAGATACATCTTTGCTTTAACAAATCTAATTGCCTTTTCCTTCTAGTTTCTGAGCAAGAGTGCAAACAATGAATATTTTCAAGCTTTACTGGACAAGTATCCATACAAGAAAAATATGCAGAACTTCAGTAAATGATTTTACCCATAAAACTGAGATGCAAGGTAAAAATCAAATATTGCAAGATTTGACATTAAACATCACAAGTTAACAACATCATGTTTCTTGTCACCAGCTGAGGAGCTGGCTCAGCTGCTGAATTCCACACATCCAATGCTTGATCCACCAATCTGTTCAGTAGATGTGACCCTACCTGGCAAACAAGATTTTCGCCCCTCCATTGCTATTGAAGAAAAAAATGCCAGAGTTTACAAGACATTTAGAGTTCTGTTGAAATAAAACTAAAGAATTTGGTGCAATTCCTGCAATATCTACTACTTCTAAAGTAGTATATGTACTGAACACATCAGTCCAATACCAGCCTTAACAAACTGCAAAAAGGATGAAATATTCTGAACACAGACAGGAAACTGAGGCATGGGGTTCTGACCTTCCCAAGGTCAGAGGGAATTCTAACAATCTGATCTCTCTAGAATCAATCCCACTGTATTAGAGGGAAGATCATTAATCAACAGTGATACATCGAGATAAGGTGATACATAGAGTACTACATTAAAATTTAATTGTATTCATTGTCATCTTAGTATTAAAAATTCAGTGATGGGTATGATGAAAAATCATTTTTCTTAAGGAATCGGTGCATAAGTGAACCAACTAACAAGAAAAATTACCAAAAGTGAGTCTGCTAATCATGTAATAAAGTTCTTTAAAAAAAAATCG